ATAAATGCAAATTGCTCACATTTGCTGGCAGGCGTGGGTTAAAAGCACATTCGAATAATATGCTGCTTGCGAAAACACACGTGGCCTTTTACATACGTGTGACCCCCCCTAACCCCTAAACCCCCAAACCCCTAAACCCCAATGCCCTTAAACCCTAAAACCCTAAACCCCCAAACCTTAAACCCGTAAGCCCTAAATCCGAAACCCGAAACCCCCAAACCCCTAAAACCCTAAACCAACGTGGAACGCAGGCAACGAACTCGATCGAAGCGCCAGTTCGAGCTTTAGGGAACCTGCTCAGCCCGTGAGCCGCACAGTAGGCACTTGGCCCTAAAGCCCCTAAAACCCTAAAACCCTAAAGCCCTAAAGATCCTAAACCCCTAAAATCCTTAAAAACCCTAAAGCCCTAAAACCCTAAAACCCGAAAACCCTAAAGCCCTAAAGCCCCTGAACTCTTTCTAAAGCCCGAACACCCTTCAACCCTAAAGCCCTAAAACCCTAAAGCTCAAAAGCCCTTAAACCCTAGAGCCCTAAAGCCCTTAAACCCTAAAACCCTTAAACCCTAAAGCCCCAAAACCCTAAAACCCTAAAACACCGAACCCTTTCGAAAGCCCTAGCAGCGCTCCTCGTGGCTAAACTTGTCGTCCATTTTTCGTAGCTTCTCCACCAGCGTCTCGACCTGCCCTGCCTGCTTCTCCTTGAGTCTCGGGGTTTTGGGGGGGTTTAGGGTTTCAGGATTTTGGGGTTCTAACCCCTAAACCCTGAAATTAAAACCTAAAACCCTGAACCCTAAACATTAGGGGTTCAGGGATTTTAGGGGTTTTAGGATAGGCTTTTAGGACCCTAAACCCTAAACCCTAAAGTCTCAAGCCTCAGTCGACGCCGAGCTCTGAAGGCCTTCAGGCCCCGAACAGAAGCTTGAAAGCTGCTTCTAGGGTTTAGGGTTTAGGGTTTAGGGTTTAAGGTTTAAGGTTTAGGGATCGTCTGAGGGAAGATTGCAGTGCCCTTAATGATTCGAATAGGGTTTGGGGGGGTATGTTATTGCATAAGTGTGTTAAGGAATCGTATAAATGTAACTGTGTATTCCGACTTCTTTTTATCGGTTTGGGGATAAAAGTCTAAGGACTTTAGGAGGGACCCCTAATAGGGACCCTCAATCCCATTGCCTTAAATAACCATTGCAGTCCTTATATACCCCTTATATAGCCAGGTAGTCTCCATATTAACCCCAATAACCTACAAGGGTCCCAATTAAGGAGTCCCTCCTAAAGCCCTTACAAAAAGTGTTCACTGATTCGGGGTTCGAGCAGACGGTTCGCTTGGGGCTTTGGGTCTGCAGTTAGGATGTTGAAGTTTGGGGGTTTAGGGTTTAGGGCTTAGGGTTGAGGGCTTAGGGCTTAGGGCTTAGGGTTTAGGGGGACTGCGGATGTAGCATCGGGTTCAGGACCTTTCGCCCACAAACATGAGAACCCCTACCCTAAGCCCATGAATGTTGTCCGAGATTCAAAGCCTCAAAAACCCCAGACAGGAAGCTACCGTTGATGATATAAGTCAAATCCTGCGTTATCTTAAGGACCCTAACCTATGGGAATTTTGGTATGTTCCTTCACATGGGTAGTGCAGGATTTATGTCATCAACCGTATCAGTCCGGGAATATTGTCCAAGGATCAACGCCACATAGACGAAAGCGTCTAGGGTTTAGGGCTTTGGCGCTGCTGCTAAACCCTACTGGCATACTGGGAGGTTCATGGGTAGTTATAAGTAGAGTTATAAGTAGGGTAACTATAGTTATAACCTATATTAGAGGACTTATAACTCCACTTATAGCTACCCATGAACCGCCAAGTAGGCCCTAAACCCCTGAACCCTAACCTCTGATTCCTTTGGGGCTTCAGTTTAACGCCAAAACCTGAAGCCTCGCCCCTCAGCCCCTACTTGGAGGGCCGGGGGACTTAGTAAACAGTTGTTTCATGGAGTTATAAGTACCATAATAATCCTAGCTAGGATCCCATTTAGAGCATTTACAGCTCTACTCATTACCTACTTACTGGGTCCACCGACCCTGCAAGTACCTGTAACCGAAAAGGCCCACATTTTTGAGGAACTATTTGTAGAAACCGTAAGAAGGAACCCTAGACGGTAGGTCTTTTCGGCTACAGGTACACCTGAACATCCAAAACCCAATGAAACTGCGTGCCCCCAGAGGTGGTCATTAAGCGGCACATCTTCACGCCGCAAAACCCTACCCCGAGCTTCAACTACACACCAAAAGAACTTAAAACCTGAACCCTAATTTCCCTCCAAATCCTCTCCCTGGGCGCGAGTCCTTAGCCCGGGTAAAAAAAAGCTATGCATCTCCGCGATTCCATTGCTTGGTTTACTTACTATACTTGGAGGTCCATGGGTGGTTATAAATAGAGTTATAAGTCCCCTAATATAAGTTATAACTGTAGTTATCCTACTTATAACCCGACTTATCACTACCCATGAACCTCCAAGCACACCCCTAAACCCTAAACCCTAAACCCTAAAACCCCTAAACCCTACATGATAATGACAAAAAAACCGAGCCCAGCATCCATGAGACCGACCATGCTCTTCCCCACATCTTTGGCTGCTCGCTCCCCTCCATCCAGGTACCTGGCTATAACACGCAGGTTTTAGGGTTTAGGGTTTAGGGCTTAGGGTTTAGGGTTTAGGGTTTAGGGCTTTGGGTTTAGGGTTTAGGGTTTAGGGGTTAGGGTTTAGGTAAGTCCTTGGGAAGACTTACAAGGCCTTGCGACGCCTGTACTTGGAGGTTCATGGGTGGTTATGAGTGGAGGTATAAGTCACCTAATATAGGCTATATCTATAGTTACCCTACTTATAACCCTACTTATAACTACCCATGAACCTCCAAGTACAACTCTACAAACTAAACACCGTTCTACAAACAAAAGGAACTGCAAACCCGGGTAAAATCTTTAAAACCGTTGCTGCGCAAACCCTTCTCAAAGCCCAGGGTATATAGTAGAGTGTTGTGTAGCGCGAACCTACGGTTTAGGATCTACGGACTAAGGCGGAACCAGTAACCTGGATGCCTTCTGGTCCGAAACGGAACTGCTTCCAAAGCCCAGCTACACCTGAAACCAACATCCATCCTCCTCCATCCTACACCCCAACCCTTAACGCTCCAACCAAAAAAGGCTCAAGATTTTCAGACAAGCCTGAATCCAGAATTCCTGAAACCTGACTAAACCTGCTGAACTACAAAATGCCCTACGTTGCTGGCAATCAGGCCCCAAATCCAACCCTAAGGCCCTACAAACCCTTGCAAAAGCTGCAAAACTCCGCAAAGCCAAAACGAAACGAGACTCCATGAATCCCTATGAAGCCCTGTAACCCAAACCGGACCGTTCTCTTTGCCAAGAGGCCTTCCCAGGAAGGGAATCTTCCAGTACGGAATCCTGAAGGTATAAGGCCATAATATAGCGGCCAAAATAATTACCAATACTGTTTTGGGAACTCCTCAATATAGTTCTAAGTAGTACAATACTATCACCCAAAAATCCTACCCTAAACCCTAAACCCTAAACCGGCTTCTGGAGGATTCTATGGGGTCCAGATATACGGGTCCGAAGAATTACCAATCCCATCCCTGACATGATGGTTTAGGGTTTAGGGTTTAGGGTTTAGGGTTTAGGCCCGAACCCTAAACCCTAAACCCTAAACCCGTTAAACCCCAAACCCTAAAACCCTAAACCCTAAACCCCCAAAACCCTAAATCCACCATCCCAGAGTTCTTGCGGTGGTTTGCGACGTGTTCGTGCGTTCGTTGGCGCCCCAGCAAGGCGTGAGTCGGGCTTTGGGTAGACGGTGTAGCGTTTAAATTTGGGGGCTTCAGGTCTAAGGCTTCAGGGTATACGGCTTAGGGGTTTTAGGGTTTAGGGGTTTAGGGGTTTAAGGTCTAAGGTTTAAGGATTTAGGGTTTAGGGGTTTAGATTTTTACGGGGTTTAAAGTCTAAGGTTTAAGGGTTTTTAGGGCTTAGGGGTTTTAGAGGTTTAAGGTCTAAGGTTTAAGGGTTTAGGGCTGAGAGGTTTAAGGGTTTAAGGTCTAAGGGCTTTAGGGTTTAAGGTCTAAGGTTTAAGGGTTCAGGGTTTTTAGGGTTTGGGACGGTTTAGGGTTCAGGGTTTAGCGTTTAGGGTTTAGGTTTCAGGGTCTAGGGTTTAAGGTCTAAGGTTTAAGGGTTTAGGGCTTAGGGGTTTAAGGGCTTGAGGTCTAAGGTTAAAGGGTCTAGGGCTTAGGGGTTTAAGGGTTTAAGGGTTCAAGGTCTAAGGTTTAAGGGTTTAGGGGTTTTAGGGCTTAAGGGTTTTAGGGCTTAAGTTCTACGGTTTAAGGGTTTAGGGCTTAGGGGTTGCAGGGTTTAAGGTCTAAGGTTTAAGGGTTTAGGGCTTCGGGGTTTAGGGGTTTAACGTCTAAGGTTTAGGGGCTAAGGCTTATCCCTAGCTAAACCGTTTGGGATTCTAGCCGTTGAGGTTTGGGTTTAAAGGCTACGCACAGCAACGCAAAGAGCAAGAACAAGTGCAACACGAGACTGACACGTTAGGGGCCTAGTGATTCGTGCGGGTTTAGGGTTTTGGGTTTAGGGTCAGAGGGACAGCCACTGTAAGGGAGAATGACCTCTCACGACTACTGTAGTTTGCGGCGTCAATCAAACCTGGTTGTAGGCCGGAAACTTAAAATTTCAAACACAAAGTGTCACTCTAATACAATCCCCTCGCATAAGAAGTCGAGCCTGAGCCGAAATACCGAACCTTAATCTCCTAAACCTCTTGTAGGGGCCTAAATAATTACCAATACTACTTCGGGGGGGGCTACTGTTTAGGATCATAGCATGATAGGCCCCCAAAACCCTATTCTAACTCTTACGGCCCCTATATTAAACCCCTCAAGCCCTCGACCAAGTTTACTACTCACTTTTTTACCCAGAGTCGGGCTTGCCATACGCGTCATGAGACTATCCATGAGGGCATGCACGTCCTTCACCAGTGAGCTGTCCTGGGCTGGGCTGCATCATGAAGGGGCTCCATGGGATTTCAAACGAGTTACAGGGCTCTGTAGAGTGTTTAAGGGCCTCTTAATCGGTTACATAGTGTGCTGCGAGCAAGAGGTGTCTATTCCGGAGGTTCCCAGTAGCCAGAACAGGGTATGTCGGGGCTACGGAGGGACATCACCAGTACTTGTTCAGACCTGAACTTTATTGATGGCTACACTCAAAATAGCAGCGGTGAAAAAAACGTCGTCTTCGTCAGCAGCAGCCGTGGTAAGAGTAGTAATAGCAGCAGTAGTGGTGGTAGAAGTAGTTTTTGCAGCAGCAGCTGCAGTAGTAGTAGTAGTAGTAGTAGTTGTTGTTGTTGTTGTTGTTGTAGTGGTAGTAGTCGTCGCCGTACTGGTAGTTGCAGTGGTAGCCGTAGTGGTAGTCGTCGTCGTAGTACTAATAGCAGTAGTAGTTGTTGCAGCAGCAGCAGCAGCAGCAGCAGGAGGAGTAGTAGTAGTTGTTGTCGTCATCGTAGTGGTAGTGGCAGTCGTAATGGTAGTCGTCGTCGTAGTAGTAGTAGCAGTAGTAGTAGTAGTTGTTGTTGTTGTTGTTGTTGTTGTTGTTGTTGTGGCCGTCGTCGTCGGTACTAGTCGGTAGTAGTCGGGTAGTAGTCGGTAGTGGTAGGTAGTGGTAGGCAGTAGTATGTAGTAGTTAGTAGTTAACATGTGGTACGTAGTAGGTAGCAGCCACGTGGTAGGTAGTAGGTAGCAGGTGGTAGGTAGTAGGTAGTAGGTAAGCAGGTCGTCGGTAAGGTCGGTAGGTCGGTAGTAGCAGGTACGTAGTAGGTAGGTCGGCAGTAGGTAGTAGGGTAGGTAGTCGGTAGAGGTAGTAGGTAGTAGGTAGTAGGTAATAGGTAGTAGGTAGTAAGTAGTAGGGAGTAGGTAGTAGAAAGTAGGTAGTAGGTAGTAGGTAGTAGGTAGTAGGTAGTAGGTAGTAGGTAGTAGGTAGTAGGTAGTAGGTAGTAGGTAGTAGGTAGTCGGTAGTAGGTAGTAGGTAGTAGGTAGCAGGCAGTAGATAGTAGATAGTAGGTAGTAGGTAGTAGGTAGTAGGTAGTAGGTAGTAGGTAGTCAGTAGTAGGCAGGAGGGTGCAAGTAGTAGTAGTAGTAGTAGTAGTAGTAGTAGTAGCAGCAGTAATAGTAGTAGTAGTAGTAGTAGTAGTAGCAGCAGTAGTAGTAGTACTAGTAGTAGTAGTAGTAGTCGGCACCTCCCCCGCCAACCACCTCTGCTACAACAACCCTCTTAACAACACATCCGTTTTACTCGGTATTTACGGTACGTTCGTCGTATCGTACCACTTCTTCTTGCCTCAAAATTGGGCTTCGGATTGGGGTGGGGGGAGTTGGGAGGGTGGGGGGGTTGGGGGGGATGATGACGACAATGTTACACAGACACACCGAACAAAATCTCCACAAAAGCGGTTTACTCGGTATTTGCAGTACTTTCGTGATGTCGAACCTTTTTATATAGTCACCAAACCTACTTCTGCACTTTGCAACTTTGGGATTTCGGGAGCTTTCGGCGAAAACTCGAAATTGGGTTGGGGGAAGCTTTTCCGGGGGATGATCACGACACTGTTTCGCGGACACCCCGAACAATATCTCCACACCTAGCGCGCACACTCCACACAGTACTTCAAAAGCAAACCCTCCTACGCCGAGGTCTGGGCTTTAGGGGTGTTGGCGAGCTCCTCCCACGTACAGCTAGCATCTTTGTTTTCGATTTTTATAAGATGTTGCGCTTCAGGTTTAAGGAGTGTTAACCTTCTTGGCGGCACCTGCGTTTTGCACTGTATTTACAACGTTTTCGTGCTATCCGACCGCCTGAGCTTTAGCTGTTTCTTTCCCGTCGAGTTTGCAACTCCTACTTCTGTCACAGTTTTGGGGCCTGAGCCTCTGCAACTTCACCGACTGTGACAGTTAAGGCAAGTAAGCCTTTGCAACTTCTGCAGCAATCACAGATAGGGAGCCTGAGCCCCTGCATCTTCTGCAGCTGCCGCAATTAGGGGGCCAATAAGCTGCCACTGCCAAGCGCGAATGGTTGGTAGCGGGGGAGCTGGTTAGTAGTAGTAGTAGTAGTAGTAGTCGTAGTAGTAGTAGTAGTAGTAGTAGTAGTGGTAGTCAGTAGTAGTAGAGGTAGTAGTAGTAGTAGTAGTAGTAGCAGCAGTAGTCGTCGTCGTAGTAGTAGCTCGAGTCGTCGTAGCAGCAACAGCAGCAGCGGCAGTGGCATTCATAGTAAGGGGAGTGCTGCTACTTACATCAGTGATACCTGCGAAATGACGATTTGTCATGATGTGCCCAGCCGCACCAATTATGCTTGTCGAGAGTGGGTTAAAGAGGAGTAGCTGTCGAGGAGTGACATAGCATCCCCTCTCTGCTTGGAGGTCCATGGGTAGTTATAGTGGAGTTATAAGTCCCCTAATATAGGTTCTAACTATAGTACCCTAGTTATAACCCTCCAAGTGTTCATGGAAGATGACGCTTCCCGGATGCTGCGAAGAATCTCTCGTCTCCAGCATGCGCAATTCCTGCCCAAAAGCAGTCTTGCAAAGGACATCGGCAGTGTACATAGGCAGGAGCTCCTGGGACGAGACTGCCAGGATTTGAGTTTTGGGCATGGGCACTTGAAGGTGGTAAGTTGGAGCATATGAGTAGTTCTAAATTAAGTTCCTTTTTTAGGGTCTTTTTATAAGGGTGCCGTACTGTATCGGGGACCTAAAACCCTAAACCCTGAACCCTAAAGCGGGACCTAAATTAGAGAACTACTCATAGGGCTGGGGGATCTGGGGGAATCCTTGGACACCCTGTCGGGGTGGTCTGAGACGTCGAATGTAGGGGCCTTAATAATCAGAACAGGGTTTTGGGGCCAATTAAACTATATTTATAATACGGAACTAATTATTTAGGCCCCTATATTAAGTCTGGCAGCTCCTACCAACCGTTTGATCAGAGGGATTTCGTGATTCCTCTGCTGGGGTCCCTGTCAAGCTCTGCACTGTTGGATCGCAAATTTGTGTCGGAGTTCGGACACCGAATCCCTAGGGTAGACCAGAGAAGGCACCAACAGAATGAAGGAAAGCAGACCGGCTCATGTTGCGGGCTCTTGTCGCAACTCTACTCTCCGGCCCTGGTGCTGGAAGCGAAGGCATTCGAAAAAAAGACAAACTCCGGAAAAGCAGGGACAAGCGAGACCCGGCTAACGCACCCCCCGCCGCACTTTCGTGAGGGCCTACCTTCTCTGTGCCTTTACTGATCCTTACTAAGGGCGGACTATCCATCGAACCCTAAACCCTAAACCCTAAAAACCCTAAACCCTAAACCCTAAACCCTAAACCCCAGACCCTAAGCCCTAAACCCTAAACCCTAAACCGTGTTTGCAGTGAGCTCGCCATGGAAACGAAAGGCTTAGCGGCTAAGCGTGCAAAGCTTCGACTCGGAAGCGGCCTAGCAGAGACTGGCTTTAGGGTTTAGGGCTTTTTAGGGCTTTTTAGGGTTTTTAGGGTTTAGGGGTTTAGGGCTTTTTAAGGTTTTTAAGGTGTTTAGGGTTTAGGGTTTTAGGGTCTTTTGGGTTTTTAGGGTTTGGGGTTTAGGGGTTTTTAGGGTTTTATGGATTGTTGGGGTTTAGGGTTTAGGGTTTTGGCCACGAGTCGGAGAAGTTGGTCTCGCCCTTGCTTTTGCAGTCGGCATCCAGGGCAGCCAGGAACTTCTCCGTGATTTCAGAGATCGCCGGCGCGTAGCTGCCCTGAAGATCTAGAGACTTCTGTAGAGGGGCTTCCCTAAAGTCTAGATAAAGGCTCAACATGGGGCTGTTCAGGGTTTCATAGTGGCTATGTGTTTTTAGCCCTGAGGGGTTTTTTGGTGTTGAGAGTTTGAAAGGCTGCCGGTGGTTGATAATTAAGCTCTTCCGCATGCGGCCCCTCGGACAGTGTCGAAACCGCCACCTGTCAGGGGTCAGGGCATGCTCCTTAGCAGGATTCAACACATATTTCGCACTCTATTCTGTAAGGGGGGGTTTAGGGTTTAGGGTTTAAGGGTGTTGAGCCCTCTGGGTACGGCTCTCGTGGCTGCTGCTGCTACTCATGTCATACCGCACTTGTTAGCACTTGTGGCATCTTGCTCACTACATTGTGGCCTGGCAACTTGCCCAAACCCTAAACCGTTGAAACCACAACTGAAACATCAAGCCCACACCCTAGATCCTTGAAGTCTGTAAAAAAACCATCTGAAGTTAACTTCAAATCTTTTCAACTCCCGGATCCAACATGCTAGGTTAGAAGGCTTCATCAGGTTGTTGACGATTGGCGTCCGCATGGATTTCGGGTTGTTAGATCGGAAGTTAGCAGCTTGGTGGTAGTGGCATATCATAATCCTTTACACGGGCTTCATTGTCGCTTAGCCTACAGAAAACCTAACATCTAAACACTCCACCCTAATCGCGAAACCCCGGAACCCTAAATCCACAATCCTCAACACCTCTGAGCGGAAAACCTGAACCCGAGCCTGCACCGTAAATCCTCTCAACCCTAAACCTTGTTGAATCCTGGGTGCCACGTTCTTGGCATTGAAGGCGGGGGCCATGATGCCTCTGTGTTTTCAGAGGTCGAGAAGCGTCGGGATTAGAATGTAGGGTTCAGGGTCTAGCTTTATGTTTTAAGGCTTAGGTGTAGAGCTTAGTACAGGGTTTGAAGCTTAGGGATTAGCGTGTAGATGTTGGGGCCTACAGTGTCGAGTTTCCGGTTTAGGGTTTAGGATTTAGGATTTAGGTTTTAGGGTTTAGGGTTCAGGGTTCGGCTGTAGGTTTCCGCTTTCGGATTTTGATGATTTTTGGGCTTCCGAGTTTGGGCTCACTTCGCAGGCTCTTTAAAAAAGAAGGTGCCTGTATCAGACCGGAACCTTCAAGTGTAAACCTTACCCTGAACCTCAAATCTTACGCCCTGAACTTAAAAAACCCTAAACCCTAAACCCTAAACAGTACACCGTAAAACCTGACCTTCTTAACCCTGAGCTCTATGCCCTTTTCTGTCTCTATACGGTTAGCCTTCGATCCACGAGAACATCCTTGAACTGAGATTACCGGACTTCTGCTATGGGCTTGAGTTTTGTGCACTTAGGGTCCAGGCAGGAACAAGACGAGATGTGTGAGCTTCCCGCAAACCTTGCATTGAGGGTTTCAGGGTCAAGGGCTTCGGGTTCGGGGTTTACTGTTTTAGGTTTTGAGCTTAGGGCCCAGGGTTTTGATTTTAGGTTTAAGCTTTAGGCTTTAGAATTGCTGCCCATGCTTAGCAGACTACGTACAGTATGCACAAAACTCTCGCAAATCTATTTGGGCAAGCCACGACATGACGGGCACATACCATGAAGTGATCAATATTATGGCAGGACACAAAACATGCTTATGACGAGCTCCGCCTTGGATTGAGCAAATCCCATTCTGCAGCTCCATACCGCAATCGTGAAAGGAAGCCTTCTCGGAATCTCAGGCCTCGCCCCAAACCCCAAAACCCCCACGAACCCGACTACCCTACACAACCTAAGGCCACTCCTCAAAAAACACAGAACCAACATCCTCAATAATTTCTGAAAACCTCTGTGAACCCCCAAGAGCCCAAAAACCTTCGCAGCTAAGAGAGAGAGAGAGAGAGAAAGAGAGAGAGATTTTTACTTGAACTGTTTCTTGAACTGTTTCTCTCCTTGTGTGCATTTATCTGCTTTATTTACATATATGTGTGTATGCATGTGTGTATGTGTAAGTGTAGTGTATATGTGTATGTGTATGTATATGTATGTGTATACGTATATGCATAGGCATATGCACATGGATACGGACGTGTATATGGATATGAATAAGTATCTGTATATGTAAGCGTACATGTATATGTATATGTATGTGTGCCTGTGCATGTAGATGAAGATGTGTAGGTATGTATGTGTGCACGCATGTATATGTATGTATGTATGTATGTATGCATGTATGTATGTATGTATGAATGAATGTACGT